AAAAAAAAACTTCAGACAGAGAAATAGAAAGAACAGAACAATTAACACCATATACACACCATCCAGAAAACAGTTGTTGACATGTTTCTGTATTTGCTTTTCTCATGTGCACAGTGTTTGTGGAGGCTGAATTATTTTAAGGTAAACTAGACATCATTAACACTTCCAATATCAATGCTTCAGCATACACTTCCAAATGAGGACATTCTCCTAAATTAACTACAATACTATTATCAGAGCTAACAAATTAGCAATTCCCTAATACTCTGGAATGTATCATATTTCCCCAAATGCTCTAAAAATGTCTTGGATAGCTTTAAGTCAGGAAACAGAGACCACACATTATGTTTGATTGTTTTCTCCTCCAAGTATTTCTAACCTTAAGAAACTGGACAAATTACCTTGTGAAGATACTCTTTTTAAGCCTTCCTTTTAATCTCACATATCTAACCCTGTACAGGGAGAAATGAAACAAAACAAGGTATGACCAGCCCACCAGTATTTGACTTTGGCTGCCAGAAAAATAATGTGACACAAAATTAAACTGATTGAGGTAACTATGAGCCATGTTTCCTCCTTGTTATTCTAATAAGGAATGAATAAGCTGAATACACCAACTCCTGCCTTAAAGCTGAAGAACTAATGCCTTGGAAATGGTATTATTAGTCATGGTTGCAGTTAACTAATTTTTAAATAGTCTAAACATCCCTAATGAAGAAAACACAGATAGCTGGAAAAAAAAGTTATCTGCAATGAACAAAAGCAATACAATGCTAAGACTTTTGCTTATAGCCTTAAAGTTACTCGACTATAGGATACTTCAATAGTAATAAAACACAGAAGATGCACATTTGCTCAAGTGACTTAAAACTATAAATGTGCCTTAGAAGATGATAGTTCCAAAATGTATAATGCTATTTGAACTATCAGGTCCCTGAGTGTTGGAGAAAATCTTTATACCTGCTGCCACCAAGAAACTAAAGCTAACAGCAATTAACATGTGTATTTTGGGTCCCTCCCCACCCCCAGGGGAAGGGCACTAGATCCAAATCCGCTGACCTTGAAAATATTTTATTTCAAATACCTATACCTGTGCTGTCCAGTATGTAGCCACCAGTCACATATGGCTACTTAAATTTAAATTTAAACTAAATTTAAAACGATTTCTCAGTTGCATCAGGCACACTTCAAATGTGGCTAGTGGGTACGACTTCATAAGGCACAACTAACAGGACATTCCCCTGATCACAGAAAGTTCTAGTGGATAGTATGGATTTAGACTATTTTATGTGTATGTATTAACTCCCCAAAGAGAGAGTAAGCTCCTGAACCATATGGACTTTCTACTTGTTTTACATACAATACTGACAACAGGGTAGCCCTGAACATGTAAGTAAACTGTTTTGTAAGAAGACACAAAAGGTGGGGCATTCTCTATGGAATTACATCTAAAAGAAGAAAACAGTATACTGGGGGATGGACAATTTAGACTCAGATGTGTTGCCTGGGCTTTCCTATGCAGAAAAAAATCCATGATGCAGTGCACTGTGTCCCAAAACGCAGTTTGTATCTTTTTGACATAAGATCATTTTACATGTATATGGTTCAACACTTTTAGATATACCTTACAATAAATATAAAGCTATTACTACATCCATCAAATACATAATTTCATAGTGTTTCTTAGGACAAATTTGATTTTTAAACAAATGTAATTTAAAAGATCAAAATATGAGAACAATACAGGCAGTAAATAGATACGGCAAGTCATCAGGTAGTGAATGAAATGTTTGGGAAACACTAGCATAGTGTCAAGAGTCTGGGGATCCTAAAGATTTGGATTCTGAACCTGAACTATACCAGTAGCATTTACCAGTATGCTACCTGCCTTATGAGTACTCTTGGGCAAGTTTTTAGTTTTCCTGAAGCTACTGACACATCTTTAAAATTAGAGTACTCTTTCCAGCTGAAGTCAGCTACCCAAAGGACTAAATGATAAAACATAGTATGCATATTAGCATTCACCAAACGTGAATCTCCTTCCCCTTCCCAAGAAGAAATGAAATAGTGTATCTTCCCTCTAACAAATGGAACTGAACTTTGAGAGAAAACTGCTACTCACCAGGGGCTTGGTTGCCTTTCCTTCTCACTAGGAAGGGCAAATGCTGAAATGACAAGGCTCAGGGAGGAGAAAGGAGCTCTGAAAGACCAGGTCTGCACTTCAGAATCTAGATGCGCAACTCTGGGCCTTGCTGTGGTACAAAGGGGACTTTTGGTCCTTCCTCACCTGACCAGGCCCTCACATCGTGGCGTCTCCTCCTCTCTGATCCGCACTGCACAGACTGCTGCCCACTCCAGATCCTAGGCTGCCTCCCTCCTGGATCAAACTCTCCATGACTTCGTTTTCCCCATACCCTGAGTGTAGTTATTTGACCCAATCCCTCCTTCCTGCAAGTAAAAGGGTCAAAAATAATCAAGGTCCCCCAGGAGATCCGAAATCAGTTCCCTCTTCAACTTCAGCCCAAAAGCTTGGCAGAGACCTCTGATGAGAGGCTTTTCTCTTCTGATAGGTTTCTGCTGCCTGTGGAACGGCCACTACTTTCACCCTCACCATTCCGAACTTGTTCCGTGCAGCCCGGACTTGTGGGCTGGGAGCATCTGCTTTCAGCAGGGATCTTCCCACTGGCCCAAGGCCACTGTCTCCCCGGAGTTGTGCATGCCGTCAAATTTTTTGAGCACTTCCTACAATATTCCGCAGGGGCCGAGAACGAAGGCAAGGCGTCCCGGCGCACTGCAGGGCTTTCGGAGGGCGGGAGATCCAGAACCCACATAAGCCTGGCCTGCGGAGGCAGGGGAGGCACCCCGCTGCCCGGGAGCCTCTCTCACGTGAGGGGTCGGGTGGGGCACGCGTGGTCAGACCCTGGGCTCCAAAATGCAGCCCCATAACCCCGCACCCCCATTCGGCGGCCTTCCCCTAAACTTCGGATACTCCTCCGAACCTTGGGCTCCACTCGGTTCCGTGGCGGCTTTGAAACTGCTCCCGGACTCTTTCCGCAAAGAGCATAGGCAGTTTGAGCACAGACCCGTTCGGACCCAGCTTTGCACAACCGCACTGGGAGACCAGACCCAGCAGGCCCAGCAGCTGCTCCAGGTACACCCCCTCCCAGAAGCCTCAGCGGTGACTCTGAGTCCTCGCGAGGTTATGGCTCAGACGGGAATCTCTCTCTCCACGGGGCGGAGGAGGGTCCTCTTTGGGCGTGGCTTCCCTCTGCCCGCAGATTGAGGGTGCGGAGTAATTCGGGAAGGAACCGCGTTGTCAGCCGACCCATGCGCCCACTCCCGCGGGGGTATCCCGACTACTTCCAAGCCGGTGTCCGAGGAACGTTTGGGCATATCCCTTTCCCTGGTGTGCCTCCCTCTACCTGTTGAGTGCTGCGTCTTGCCTTTGCCCCTCTTGGAATCCGTATCCCGCTGTTAGCACCTCGCGTCAGCTTTCCCAGCTGCAAACAACCACGGTCTCATTTTGAAAAGATGCTGTATTCGTCTTATTTGTGGATTTCGTTTTTCTATTTGCTTACTCTTTAACTTTTTTGTGTGTTTGTGTGTGTGTGTGGGGGGGGATGCAACACAATTATATTCTGAAATATTAAAGAAATATAAGGATTATTTAAAAGACGTGTAATCATTAGAACAATAGAAGAGTGTCAAGCTCTTCCCAAATACTCCCATGCCTCCTTCTTGAGGAAAACACTAATCTGACTTTTATGAATCACTTCCTTGCTTTTTTTTTTTACAATTTTATTACATATTTGGAAATTTAATTTATGATAAAGATGGGATCGCATAGCAACGAAGAAAATACGGTCTTTTAAATGAAGGCCTTGTGACAATAGGATATCCTTATTAAAAATATATATGTGTAAAATAAGACCTCTATCTCACTTTATCACAAAAATAAATTCCAGGAGGATTAAAGTATTAAATGTGAAAGGATATGAACTGTAAAGCTTTTAGAATATAGGAAAATACCTTTTGGAGTTCAGAATAGGGAAAGATTTCTTAAAAATACAGAAATGTTTTCTAAAAAACTACAAAGGACATTTTGGGTCAATGGGGAAATTTAGACGTGACTAGTATATTAGGTAAGAGTTGAATCAATTGTAAATATCCTGAGTGTGATAATGATATTGTGGTTCTGTAGGAAAACAGCCTTGTCCTTAGAAATATGAAAGTTTGAGGAAAATCTTTCTAAGAAAGTGAAAGATGAGTAGGCTTTGCTGGATTGAGGCTGGAGGTTTCTGCCTCCTCCCCAGTATGATCTGTAGCCAGGATGTAACTCCTAATGCCAGGAAAGCCCGTCCTCAACCTTTTCACATGTGGACCTACTTTCAAATGGAGTTTGCATGGGCAGTTCTTCTACGAGAAGTAATATAGAAGATTCAGAAACATGGAGTCTTTGGGAAAAAGAAATACGAAGACAGCAGGACCATGCTCCCTAAAGCTGTCATTTTCAAGACTGTGGGAGTCAAATTTTAGAAAAGGATGCTCTTTCCACAAAAGGCTATCCTAAGAAGTCTGGGTATTTAAGGTTCATCATATACAAAAGTCATTGATTAAGTTCTTCCATCCTCAGGGATATCTATAACCATGGAAATACTGTTAGACACAAATGGGCTGTTTTCTCACTCCTTCAGAGAACAGGAGTTATACCTCTAACATTGTACTGATTACAGTTCACCATGTAGGTGTTTATCTATATGAGCACTCTCTAGAGTTTCACTGTATAATACAGTATCCCCATGTAACTCTTGAACACTTGAAATATGGCTGGTCCAAAATGGGATGTACTGTAACTATAAAATACATTTTGAAGACTTAGTGTGGAAAAAAATAACAATGTAAAATAATACAAATAATTTTTTATATTGATTACATGTTGAAATTATAATATTTTGGATATGTTAGATTAAGTGAAATATAGTTTTAAAATTAGTTTTATTTACTGCTTTTTATTCTATTAATTTGGCTGCTAGAAAATTTTAAATTACATAAGCAGTCCACATTTGTGTTGTGACATTATATTTCTCTTGGACAGTGCTGCTTAGAGCATTAGAGCCTAAGGGCAGGGAATTTATCTTGTTCAAGTCTGTGTTCATTACAAGTGCCAGAACAATTACTGACCTAACTTTTATATGCTCAAGAGAAGCTTGTTGACAGTATTCTGTATTTAAGAATTTTCTCTTACACATATTAAGAGCAGCCTCTCTTCAGCCAAATACCATTATCTGGTCATTGAAGAGGGTATTGCTTCACCCAGAGAATTCCAGAGGAGGTAACCCTATGCAAGGAAGCTAGAAGAGGTGGGAATGAGCTAAGGATGTAAGACAGGGGTGTGCCTCTGCTACAAAGATGCAGCTTCAGATATATTACATTTAAACCCTGGAATCAATTCGGGTTTATTTATTTATATGAGATTGGAAACCTAGGAGGTCTAGCTTCAGATGAGGCTTGATCCAGTGGTCAAACAGTATGACAAGAATTGAGTTTTCTGTCTCCATTTCTTGGATTTGTTTCCCTGTGTTTGCTTGCTTGCTAGGCAGCCTCCCTCCTTTTCCACTGCCAGTAACTTCCAGGGCTACAGCCTTCCAGATTTGTGTCTAGTAGGAAAAATGGAAGTCCATTTCCCTGATACCTCAAAGATACATCCAGAAATTATCCCATGGCCCTGATTAGTCAACTGGTGTTGTATTCATGTCTTAGCCAGAGTATTCTAGAAAACAGAGCCCACGGAAAAGATTAGATGCCTTTTTGAAAAAAGGATAAGAAAGAAATGTCAATTAAATCTCAATTTTTAAAAAAATAGGCAAAGGATTTGACTTTTTAAAAAAGAAGTGAAGCAAGCAACAACTTGAAGCAAATTGTAATGGTGCATTTTTTCACTGGATATTGTTCCATGTTGATCCATGATCTTTCCACAGATTCCAGAGTAATTTTATAAAATTAAAATCCATGTCACTCTCTGGACAAAAATATTTTGAGACTTATCCTTTTACCTAGTAAATTCAGCCGAGAATCCAAGTGTTCACTCAAGAAGGCATACATTTTGTGTAGTATTCCCTGATAATGTGACACAAAATAAATTTGGGAGGATGAGTAGGAGGAGCTAACTAAACAAAGAAGTTAGGCAGAAGGAAGGAAAAATAGCACAAAGAGCAGAAACCATGATTTCATGCTTTAGATTCCATTAGCATGGAATAAAGGATCATTAAGGTCTTTATGGCTGGAGCAAATTATGCTTGAGGGGAAATTTGGGAGACACTGCCAAGAAATAGATAATGCTTTATACCAAGTTGTCCTATATTAAAAAGTCTGACCTTCATCTTCCAGTTATGAGAAGCCATTGAGGGATTTTAAGCAATAATGTGGTTTGATTAGATATCATTTAAAATGATCACTCTAGCTGCAGTGGGGAGAATAGAGATGATTCCAAATTTCATATAGAAAAACCAGTTTGGAATCTACTTAAGAAGTTAGGAAGTGGTAAGAATCTTATTAAAGAACTCTGACAACTGAGTGGAAAGGACTGACGAGATCCTGAATAGACTATATATAACTTGGTGATTAATCAGGGGAAGTTATTTAAATTGGAGAATTGGGTGGATGGCAGTACCATTCCTAGATCAAGGAGTACAGATTTTATTGAAAAGATTGTGAGTTTTGAACATACTGATTTTGAGGTGACCATGTTATATCCAAGTGGAGATATTCAATGGGACATTGACTATAATGCTCTGCAGCTCAGGAGAGATTCCTAAGATAATAGATGTAGATGTAAGAAGTGATGGGATGTTAAGATCAATTAGACAAAATGTGTAGTTGAAGAGAATATGCCTAAGGGACACAGCCCTGTAGAACATTCATGTAATCATCAGAGACAGAAGTGACTGTGAGATAAACAGAATGAATAGGCACTAGGCAAAGCCAGCACATGGGCTGTGAAGAATAACTTATAAGGACCCCTTGAGGTGGTAGTAGATCTAAGAACAGCCATGTTCAACCACTAAGGACAGATGTTTTGAAAGCTAGGCTAAAAAACTTAGGAGAAAAATGCTCATAAATGTGACTCAAGTAAAAGGACATGAGTAATTAAAGGGGATTCCCCATTTAGTCATCTAAAAAGTGAGGAGTTTTAGTTATAATTAGAAGAGTTTTCATTAGAATCCCACTTCTGAAAATTTGATCCTATAAGCTGGCATTGAAGAATGGGTAGATGTGGAATTCTATGAATAACCCTTTCTTCTGCACCCCTGTCCCTCCAGCCTCCCATTCACAATTCCCAGAGAAGCTGAGATCTCTGCCTATAATTGACTTGTTTAGAGGTGAGCACCTGAGCTATCTGGGCCAATAAGAGACTTTCCCAGGATTTGGAGATTGGAATTGAGAAAAACAAGACATCTTTCTCTGATGGAAATTGAATATATGTGAAATCTGGAGCTGATAGTAACTTTGATTTGCAACAAGATGGTTTAAAAAGAAAAAAAAAAGGCCAGAATGAAGGACACAAGCACCTGTTGAGAGATGGAGATAAAACTACCTGGGTTTTCCAAAATGCTTTAATCCCTGTCCTCTATTTGACTGTTATTACAGCCCATGAATTATATGATACCCCAATACATCACCAATAACATCCCCTTTGAGACCTAAATAGACTGTTGATTTATATGCAACCTAGATATTCCCAACTAACATACTGAGTTTAGTCAGAGCCCATATGTGAAGGTGAAACATCAACTGGAGGTGAAGCTTTAAGGGAAGACTAGATATGAGGATCTTAAATGCCAGGCTTTGATTTCTAACTGAAGAACTGCCTGTGGAGATGGAGATGAAGGGAAATCCATCAACATGTCACGGAATCACTAATACTTTAATAAAACTTTACCAGATTGAAAAATGAACATGTACAAAAATCACCGTGGTCCTGAACTTCGTGCTTACCTTTAACATAAGAAGGAATGTTAACTAATTAATGTGCTCATTCATTATTAGGAAGTCCTGTCCTACCTCTTTTCTGTCTTTCTCCATGTCTTACCTATAACTCACTCACATAACCATCCTGTAAAATACTATGTATGGTAGATGATCCATGGTAGATTCTGCCATTTAAAAACC